GATGTAGCATTAAGGCGCCCCCACCTTTCCTGTGTAAAGTTTTTGACAACCCTCCCTCCCAGCCCTCACACCACCACCGCACACAGTCTTCAGACTCTTCTCAGTAGAGGTTTTTGTGACAGGACAAAGGAGATCCTTGAATGGTTCCTTCCATCACCTGACAATAGGCATGTTTCAATTGTCAAAACTTTACAGTAATTTCGCCAGAGCTTCTTGGCATGTGTGTGTCCTCCAGCTATAACGAGCAAATTAGGGCAAAAAAACTGCACCTTTTAATGCATGCAATGGCCGTCAAAACTTGTGTCCCCAAAGGGGACAAATTCAGACTGACAAATGAGTGATGTTACTAGGGCTGGGGGTAAACGATTATTTTTAAAACGATTATTCTGACGATTATTTTATCGAATAGTCGACTATTCTAATGACTATTTAGAAAATTAATCTAATGATTATTTTTCTATTGCACAATTAACAAAAACCAGAAAATCTCAAATAAATTCCTCAAAAAAATTGATAAATTCTTACTGTAAGAGAATAAACACTACAGGCCTTCCATTTTGTATAACACTGCGTTTATTGTGTTGGTTGGTTATGTTCTGGTGACATGTAGAACTTGGGAGTGCAGGCTGCTGCCTGAGAGGTGGTAGAAGATGGAGTGTCTCCATGCTGCTTTGTTTTGGTCACTTATGTGCGTGAGGCGAGTGGTCTTACGGGTTAAACCAAACTCAGGTGATATTTTACACTAAACCGAAAACCCACAACACTCTAAATGTAATAAAAGGGAGATCTACACCACAAAAAAGATGAACTCTAAACCAAAACGTAACAGCTTATCCCAACGCAAGAAGCTGTTAGCGAAGATGCTAACAGTAGCTTTACCAACGTTAAGTTCAAGTTACCAAGTTTAAATAAACCAAAAACACCCAGCAGCAAACAGACCAGCACGGAGGAGAGACTGCTACCACCAAAACAGCTCTCCTCATGTCTGAAAGAAGCTCCTTAATGAAGGGAGAAGCGCTCCCGGTGATGTTCTACATCTGCGATAGACACGAAGCAGCGTATCTGACCCCGGAAGTTGTTGTCCGTTGCCGGGAGACGAAGGCGGGCAAAACAGGAAAATAATCTAGTAGTGGACGGACGTTGTTCCGGGTCTTCGGTATTTGGCGGAGATGTTAGTGAAGGCGGAGAAGAGGGCGAACTAGAGGAAAAACAGGCAGATTCTTCCTCTATTTACAAACTCCTGGGGATGCAACAAGTGGGCGCGGTGCGTCGACTTCCGGATCTGACGTCGACAAATTTTTAGAATCGAGCCGTCGACTTCGTCGAGGCTTCGCTACAGCCCTAGATGTTACTAATCAACACTAAAATAATCTACAAGAACATCATTATAACAATAACATATTTACTGTCAAAGTTTAGCCTGATTTAATCAATGTGGAGTCGTTCGACCCTCGCAGCTCCACGCCACCCAGCGACAGTTGAATTCCGCTAAGTCTTCCTTTTGTCAAATGGCGCTTACACTATACCGTCGGCCGGGGACCGATGCGGAACCGGAATTTGGTTTCACACATGGGTCAAATATGTGTTATCCAGTCCGAGGCGACTCTTTTTTTAGACCTCCTCCCCAGCGATCCGACTGGGACTGAGGTGACACTACCGACTTGTTGGCCAGCTGAAATTACGCCTACCACCTCTGATTGGTGAGTAAAATAAGCCAGCGGGGGGTTCCCGCATGCGCGGTTCATTTTCATTCTGGGCGCTGTTAAGTGAATTTCTCTGTAGCATGGAGCTGCATCAGCGGGAATGGGTGCAGAGAGAGCTGTGCGTGTGTGTATCCCTGTTCTCTGCATCAGAGCTTTTGCCCCAGGGAGGCGACAGACAACTGATCACTAGAGCTGCCCAGAACAAAATGCATTGTGTATGGCAGCAGTGTGTGAGCGAGCGCTAACCGTTTTGGTGCCATGCATTGTCCGCGTGGGCACTGGACAGGATTTCTAGGCCAGGGTGTTTAATGGTCAACTTTCCTGGCAGGGTCACCCAATAGGAGAGTGGGAGGTTTGAGGGATCCGTGTTGGTGATCAGGTCTCTGCTTTTTGCAGATGATGTGGTTCTGTTGACTTTAACTCATTCGCTGCCAGCTTTACTCGCCATTTTTACTGTTTTTTAAGAGTCACAGAACATTGCGCGCTAGGATGATGTCGACGCTAAAACAACCAAAACAAAGAGGAGACTCACCTCTTACATCAGGAAGAATCCGCGTGTTTCGAGCGTTATCCGTTCTTTCATAATCCTTTGTCAAATCGTGATTGGCAGATGCTTTTCCGGTTCACCCCTCACTTTTTTTTATAGGAACGATCTCCTAACACATGGATTTTCTGCTTCCTGATTATGTGACGTATGCGGATGAAGATCGGCTTCAGAGCTGAGATGTTTGTTCTCTCAGCGTGGGGGCTCTTTCCGATGCCCAAACAGTACAAAAAATGCAAATGACGACTTTACTCGTCATTGCAGTGAACGGTTGGATCTAAAATGACGCCTTTAGTCCTCAATGGCAGTGAATGAGTTAAAAGAACGTGATCTCCGGCTTTAGCTGGAGCTGTTTGTAACCGAGTGTGAAGCAGCTGGAATGAGAATCAGCTCCTCTAAATCCGAGACCACGGTTTTGAGTCTGAAAAAGGTAGAATGCCTTCTCTAGATCAGGGACGTGGAGGAGTTTAAGTTTCTCATGGTCTTGTTTATTGAAGCACCGATATGAAATTTTTGGGCTGATAACGATATCCGATGTTAAGATCACTATTATGGCCGATAACCCATATTTGTTGATACTCATATGCTTCTAAAATCAGCAGATTTGATATAGAATGAAAATGATTAAAGCTGAATTTCCATTATTAAGTTCCACACACATTACTCTTCTGAGATGATTACAATCACTGTCACATGACTAAACAAAAACACATCACCCACCCACCACCACCCTCTGAAACTGATATGTTAAAAAATGACTAAAATCGGCCGATATTCATGCCGATATATTATGCTTCCCTAGTCTTGTTCACAAAAAAGGGAAAATAGAGTGTGAGATCAATAGGCAGATTGTACCGGTCTGTCGTGGTGAAGAGAGCCGGGGCAGAAGGTGAAGCTCAAGATGTACCGGGCGATCTACATTCAAATCCTCACCTGTGGTCACAAGCTTAGGGTGGTGACTGAAAGAATAAGACTGTTGATACAAGCAGCCGAAATGAGTTTTCTCTGCAGGGTGTCTGGGCTCTCCTGCAGAGAAGGGGTGAGAAGCTCTGTCATCCAGGAGGGGCTCAGAGTAAGTCCGCTGCTTGGGAATCTTATCAGGATGCCTCCTGGATGAGGTTTTCCAGACACATCCAGCTGAGAGGACACCCAAGGAAAGACCCAGGACACTCTGGAGGGACTGTTTCTTGTCTGACCAGGGAACATCTTCCCCTGGAAGACCTGGTGACTGGGGAGAGGGAAATCTGGGCCTCTTTGCTTAGGCTGAGTCCCTGCAAGCTGACCCCAGATAAGTGGAGGAAAATGGATGGATGGTTGTGAAGTGGTGCAAAGCTCCAAGTATACACTCTTTTATCTAGAATGCTTTCCTTCTTCAGTCAGACTGTGTTGGTACAACGTAGTCTAGTGATCTGTATTTTCAGCCCCTTTGGTGTTGGTTCTATTTGGTTTCATGTTCCAAATTTCTTTGAGTCCAGATTGTTTGTAGTTTTCTTTATTAAAGGAGACATAACACCCTTTTAGAGTCTTCCACTTTTCCAAAGACCAGTTCCATGATGTCATCGGCATATTCTGCAATGATGGACAATAACTTTAATGGCATATTCTGTTTACAAGCAGCTTTAGGAAAGTTGGTTCTGTAGCTTTCCTGTTTATAGTGACTTTCGTGTTGTTTTGGTTCATCTTTTACTTTGTTTACAAGTTCACTTTGCTGCTGTGACTTAACGTTTTTCTAAAAATGCAATAAAATAGTGACGCTACAATTATACAAGTGAGTCCTTATGAAAGGAAGCACATTATGAGCAATTCAGGGGGTGAGGTCTTCTTAATGATGAGGGAGGCTCAGGTGTAGGACTTAAGTGTCATCACATACTTTGGTCTGGTCCAGACGCCGTCTTTTTATTGGTGGGACTCCTTCCTCAGTAGGTGACGTGAAGCTCCAACATCTGAACGTTCTGTGTTCCATAGAGGAGAAGAAAAGTATCATTAGCAAGCTGGACATGTTTGCTGGCTAAATAATTTTTTACTAGCATCTCAAGGCCTTGGAGAACCAAAACTTCACTTACCTAAACATCAGACGAGAGTTTTATGTTTATTCATTTAGCAGACGCTTTTATCCAAAGCGACTTACAATTTATAACCTATAGGGCATGTTGTGATCTGTGGGGGAAACCGGAGTACCCGGAGAAAACCCACGCATGCATGGGGAGAACACGCAACTCCACGCAGAAAGGCCACGGCTGAGTTTCGAGCCTGCGACCTTCGTGCTGCGAGGCAATCCTGCATCAGGATGGAAATAGTAAAATTGTTTGCTTGATAGCAAGTCTTCCAAGTTTTAAAATGTAACCTTTTAAAGTGACAGCGGCCTGACAACAAGCCTGGTAAACTCCATTCCTGCCATTAAACTCATTATTTCAGTATGAGTTACCAGTATTAAGACCCTGGTCAATTAATGTTGTAATGTTATTGGCCATGCCCTTTTCAAGAATTAATCTGATATTTAAAAATAAAAGGTTTTAATGTATTTATTTCTATTGAGCCACAGTTTTTTTTATTTCCTGGAGTTAGACGAGACTTTTTGTTATAATGTACCAGAGTCTGTGTTTAGGTAAGGAAGGGCAGCCTTGGGTAAGCCTGCCAAATGAGGGGAAAATACTGTTTTATATATATATATAATTTAAATATGAATTAACATTCCTGTATCTCTGTGCCCTGGGTTGATGTGTACTACTGTTTACGCATATTTGTTTCCACAGGCCCAGAAGAGAAGAAAATTAAGTCAAAGAAGGAGAAATTGAAGGAGAGGAGAGAAAGATGGCTTCACAGTGAGTTTCTAACACCATGCTCTCTGTTGTTTTAATTTAGTTTATTTACAAATGAAAAGCATTCATCCATAGCCTAAACCTGGACCTGATATGATAGGAATGTTTTCTTTGTTTAGTGATTTGAAGTGACCTGTGAATTGGAAAATTAATAAAGGAGAGTGGGATGGACACATCACTAAAGATTAAACTTATCACCTTAAAATCACTGGATTTTTTAAGTGAAATTCCGTCAATATGACCATAAACTGGAAAATGGAAATTTAAATAAGTGAATGATCCGGATAAAACCGGATTTGACCCTGGGGGCTTAGGTGTGGTACACCTGCTGTACAGAACAAAGGCTGATGTTCTTCAGATAAAGAAAACCTTTAAAGTGGCAGTGTGTAGCTTCCTGGCACTGGGAACATGCATACATTTCTGGGTAGTTTTACACCATATCACCATGACTATCGCTAGTTTAAAAAACATTACCGTAAACGTTGTTACCTGTGGAGCAGAAAGCACTCGAGCTTGGTGTGACTCCTCAGACTCTGATGGTCCTTCTGTTAATTCCATCGAGAGAATGCAATGCCAATGCTGGTTTTCTGCCTCTGTAGTTTCCGTACCTGCTTGGCATCCCGCGCCTGCCTGAGATGCTATCATATTACGGCAACACCACTCGGCCAAAATATATTGCATCTATTTTTGATAGTTTTCTTTCACGTTTTGGAAATAGTTGAGCAGTTTTGTTATTAAATTCATGTTTCTTACTCCATAAATGTTTTTGAATGTGGTAACATAACATCCAGCCGATCATCTAGTGCAGTGGTCCGCAAATGGAGGCCCGCGGGCCACGTCCGCCCCGCGAGCCCTCTTTGTGGCCCCCAAGCCCCGCGCGCACCCCCCACCCCCAACGGCCGACCGGGAGGTGCAGGATAGACAGAGCTGAGGCATAAATGATTCTGCATCATAGAAGAGTACCATAATCAATTATAGTGGAATGTGGTTGTGTTATTTTAACGGCGGCACCAGCGGAGCATCCACATCTGTCAGAGCGGTGTTCTCCACATTTACCGGGTAGGAAACTTTAGTCTGCCTTTATGTGGTTCTGCAGGGCTGAGCGCCAGAGTTACAACCTGAGACCGAACCCGAACCGAATCAGCCCGATCGGTTCTATTGGATTTGGGCCGGTTGTTGCTCGATCAGAGAGAGGGGGGGGTGTTGGCGGACGCTCCTCCAAACACGCATTATTATTTTCATAAGTTCGTTATTATTTCTCCTGGAAGCGCTCAGTCAGACCGAGTGCTGTGATGTCGGGAGATCCGGTCTTGAGGAGGGGGCGGGGTCAGTGACGGCAGCTGCAGCGTGATCATCTGTCTCTTTTTATTTAGGGACACGGAGAAGTTAAAAGGAGAGAGAAATAGAAGATAGAAGTTCTTGTTCCACTTTATTCTTTTGTTTCATGGTGATGATAAACTGATGTTAAATTCAGCTCAAAGAGAAACTGGGAGGAAGCTTTGGTTCATTTTAAGTTACAGGAGGTCTTGTCTCATATCTGCTCCTCCAGAGACAGCATGGACATGTGGGGTCACATGGTGAGGGTCCCACAGGACAGGTTAGTGCAGTCACACAGCCGAGTTGGAAGGGGACAGGTGTTGTCCTCCTTTACAGGTGCTGGCCAGTAAATTAGAATATCATCAAAAGGTTGAAAATATTTCAGTAATTCCATTCAAAACGTGAAACTTGTACATTATATTCATGCAATGCACACAGACCAATGTATTTCCGATGTTTATTACGTTTAATTTTGATATTTATAGGTGACAACCAATGAAAACATCAAATCTGGTATCTCAGAAAATTAGAATATTCTAAAGGCCAATGAAAAAATGTTTGTTTCTCTAATGTTGGCCAACTGAAAAGAATGAACATGAAAAGAATGTGCATGTATAGCACTCAATACTTAGTCGGGGCTCCTTTTGCCTCAATAACTGCAGTAATGCGGCGTGGCATGGACTCGATCAGTCTGTGGCACTGCTCAGGTGTTATGAGAGCCCAGGTTGCTCTGATAGTCGTCTTCAGCTCCTCTGCATTGTTGGGTCTAGCGTATTGCATCCTCCGCTTCACAATACCCCATAGATTTTCTATGGGGTTAAGGTCAGGCGAGTTTGCTGGCCAATCAAGGACAGGGATACCATGGTCCTTGAACCAGGTGCTGGTGGTTTTGGCACTGTGTGCAGGTGCCAAGTCCTGTTGAAAGGTGAAGTCTGCATCCCCATAAAGTTGGTCAGCAGCAGGAAGCATGAAGTGCTCTAAAACTTCCTGGTAGACGGCTGCATTGACCCTGGACCTCAGGAAACAGAGTGGGCCAACACCGGCAGATGACATGGCACCCCACACCATCACTGACGGTGGAAACTTTACACTGGACCTCATGCAACGTGGATTCTGTGCTTCTCCGCTCTTCCTCCAGACTCTGGGTCCTTGATTTCCAAAGGAAATGCAGAACTTGCTTTCATCAGAAAACATAACTTTGGACCACTCAGCATCAGTCCAGTCCTTTTTGTCCTTGGCCCAGGCGAGACGCTTCTTGCGCTGTTTCTTGTTCAAGAGTGGCTTGACACACGGAATGCGACACCTGAATCCCATGTCTTTCATGAGTCTCCTCGTGGTGGTTCTTGAAGCGCTGACTCCAGCTGCAGTCCACTCTTTGTGGATCTCCCCCACATTTTTGAATGGGTTTGTCGTCACAATTCTCTGCAGGGTGCGGTTATCCCTAGAGCTTGTACACTTTTTTCTACCACATTTTTTCCGTCCCTTCGCCTGTCTGTTAATGTGCTTGGACACAGAGCTCTGCGAACAGCCAGCTTCTTTAGCAATCACCTTTTGTGTCTTGCCCTCCTTGTGCAAGGTGTCAATGATTGTCTTTTGGACAGCTGTTAAGTCAGAAGTCTTCCCCATGATTGTGGTGCCTTCAAAACAAGACTGAGGGACCTTTTAAAGGCCTTTGCAGGTGTTTTGAGTAAATCAGCTGATTAGAGTGGCAGCAGGTGTCTTCTATATTCAGCCTTTTCAGAATATTCTAATTTTTTGAGATACCAAATTTGGAGTTTTCATTAGTTGTCACTTATGAATATCAAATTTAAATGTAATGAACATTGGAAATACATTGGTCTGTGTGCATTGCATGAATATAATGTACAAGTTTCACGTTTTGAATGGAATTACTGAAATATTTTCAACCTTTTGATGATATTCTAATTTACTGGCCAGCACCTGTATATTGCAAACTTGTGTGTTATGTGCATTACAGCCAGAGATTCAAACAGCAGCAGCCCCCCCCCCCCCCCCTCTTGCTTCTGGGTCTTTTTTGTGAGTGGCCCTCGTTCCATTATAATTGAGGACCCCTGATCTAGTGTGATGTCGTCAACAGGCGTGGGGCAGAAGGAAACACAACATCTAATATGGTGTCCCCAAAGAACCTAGATCCACGCCCTATGTACTTTAGACTCGGCTTTTATGGTTATATGGTACAAAGCTGCTAATATTTTTCAACAAATGGCCGTAATTTTATTTATTTTCAACAACATTTTGATGAATATTTCCAAAGATTAACACTAGAACTCCCTGGAACCGTCAGTTTGACGGCTGTCATTTTGGCCATTAAATGCAGGCTGACGATGACGTTGTGGAGCAAAATGGTTCAAGTACATTATTAATTAACTCTTTATGGATGTGCAAACCTAATAAAATGGTAAGAAAATATAATTTTAATCCAAACCTTAAAAAGAAGTCACTCTATTGTTCACTGGGTGACCAACACAAATCTTCTCCGTGGGTAGGGCCGAGGGGTCCCAGATAGTATTCCGCGTTGCTGTCCGTCTCTGCTGCTTCCTACTGACTAGTTTTCATCCGCTTCCCTGTCTCCGCCTGAAGCAGATTAATTTCTCATGCTTGTTTTACTGAGAACAATCTTCTAAAAGTCATTTTAGAAGCTATTTCACACGAAGTTTGAACGGAGAGCAAGCGCACGGGAGCTAGAAAGTCTGTTGCTGTCAGTCTCTGCCCGCTTCCTGCTGACCAGTGTTGGGGTTATTAGGAGCGAACAATTCGTAAGCTTTAACTTACTTTTGGATTCTTCAATAAATTCTGTAAATATGGGAATATTTACTGATTTATTAATTAATTAAGATATTCTTAGATATACGGGGCACCATTCCCTTCAAACGGGGAAAAATTGAATCCAAAACTCTTATCAGTCTTTCTTGAAGTTCGTAGAATCCTTGGAGCAGAGACTTCTCTTCGACACAACAAAGCTACTGGAGACGAAAATCTGAATTTTATAACGTTTAATTAACAATTTGTCAAATGAATAAACAGTGGCATAAATGAATAATAACCATGTGATATAATTAAAGATGGATGTGTTTGCGTGTGATGGAGGATGTATGAATGGAGTCCTTTGTTCTCACAAAGGAGTAGTGTGTGTGTGCGTGTGTATGGATTCAAAATGGAGTCTTGAATACAAGATGGCTGACCCCTTTGTCTGGCTAAAGTGTGGGTGGCAACTTGCACTTTAACTTCCAAGGCACTTAGAATCAGAAATAACTTAACCTTAAAATCACTCAAAACACTTCAAAATGATCATGAAGCTTCACCAAAGATTAATCACGAATTAATATCTTTTTAGTTTAACCACTTGGCCATAGGAGAAAACATTTAAAGATATTCAACAATGATCAATAAGCAGTTTATTCTTTCAAAATGACCCGACGGACGTATTTGGGAACGAAAAGAGAAACTCGTCTCGTAATTTGAAGCAATAGCGCGGTTTTATTGCTTATTCTAAACTATAAAGGAAACGGGAGAAGGAAGAAAGAGAGAAAATGAGTTTCTGATCACCAGAACAGTGAAGCGTCCCTCACTGTTTGATTTGACGGTTCTCCGTGTTTCTCCGCAGTTTGGCGTCGTCCGTCGGTTTGATGCTTTCTCCGTTGTTTCCCTCCACGAGTGTTTCTCCA